AAAAAAAACTATTGTGATGGAGACAATGTAATAATTTTGAAACATTGGTAAGTTTGTTCCATTGTTATTTTGTGCTTATTTTCAAATAGACAGTACAATAGCTGAGAAAAAACTTTAGAAAAACAAACCACTACTTTCAGCCTGAAGCTGTAAGCGCTTTTTGAAAAACGTTTTTAAACACATAGAAAAAGTTCTCAAACAATAACAAATGCACAATGGACATCATGTAGATATCGGCATTTATCTAGCGTACTGTATCTTTCACACCTCCCGTAAATTCAACGGAGATTGCTTCAAGGTCAGGAGATGCCTGACACTTTTCAGGCAAACCTCCTGTTGTTCTGCTGTTGTTTTTGTTGGCAGAGGCGCAAATGAAGGGGAGAATAAACATCTAATATTTTGCACATGCATGTTGCAGCTGATGTCATCCCACCTACTTTGTAAAGTTCAGAAGGAAAGACCATGGATGAAAAGTTGGGGAGGGCATGAAAAGTCAGCACGCCCACTTCAGTCAAACTCTCCTGCCTTTGGATCAATCCATTATATAAAAGCAATACTGTTTATTACTGGACTGCTCACTTATTAGCTGCTATAACTAACTCCTTTTTTGTGCAGATCAGTTTTCTCTCTCTTCTCCCCTCTTTCGTTAAGGTATAATTCCAAGACATTTGGCCTTTGCTACCTCGTCCTCATGGCCATTTTTCATATTTGAACCAAGGCAGTGTTGGTTATTCGACTACTCAACAGTAGAGCCATCAGAGTCGAACCCAATCCTGCCCTCACCAGATGTTCACATGTGAGCACTTTGCACCCACGGTTACTGAATAACAATTAGGAACAAGATTCCTGGCCATTTCACCATTGCACAGCCCAAAGGCGATTAGGTCAATTTACAAGCCCTGGCTGCTGTTCTGGCTGGAATCAACTAATTCAGTACATTCCTAGATTTCAATGTGCAATCTGTGGTTTCTATAATTTGGTGATAACTTGGGCAGGGCTTTTATCACATAATCACCCCCAAAGGCATACGGGACTTTCAGCTTCATATCTGAACTGATAAATGGCACCTCTGACAATGCAGCACGCCCCAAGCACCATATTGGACTGTGAGGTCAACATCCTGACATGGAACTTGAACCCACAATCTTCTGACCCAGAGGCAAGAGTCCAACTAATCAGCAACCTTTAGATTTCTGCCCTTGAATGACAGTGAATGAGGAACACCTTCACATCATAATCTAATAAACTGTCAAAACAAGCTCAATGTGCTGGATGGTCTCCTCTTCCTATATTCACCTTCTAAAAGTACCAGTATAGTACAGGATTGCATTGAGCTGAATGCAAGTAGTTTTCTTGCTGAAAATAATTTGGGATTAGTATCATACAACAAAATGTACGTAAGCCTGCACATAATGCTGAGTTACCAATAGATTTTTCTTCTGCAATAAAAATAGATGTGAGGGGAGTTTATTAACTGTACACACACCACAGTAAGTCTAAAATTAGTGCAACAAGGCTTGCTGCATTCAATATAAGACAATTACTGTGAATTTTCACCTACTTACAGTCAATTCTATCAATCATTCATGATGAATAGCATGAGGAGCGCAACCACACCAACCAATAACCCATCAACATAAAACAGGGGGGAGTGGGGGAAGGTGCTTCCATCTGCTGCACTCATTGATAAGCTTGAAACAAATGCATCATTATTGGCAATACTATGCACTTAGGTGAAAGAAATAAGAATCGATTTTGTATTTTGGGTCAATAAGAATGTTATTGTGTATAAATATCCCCCTCAATTTCACCCTCTTTTGCCATTTCCAGCAGCACACTGATACCTCACTCAGCACTTTAGTCATTCTTCAGAAATATCCCAGAGTAGATAGCATTTGTGAACAAAGTTGCAGTTTAACGAAGAGGAGTAACACACCCAAAACTTATTCTCACCTAACTCCAAGTCCAGGAGTATACTTTACAGAAGATATTCTCTTGATCGTCATCAGGAAAAAGGACACCTGGCTGATTCTTCCCCTCTCCTTAGCGCAGGGGCCCTATCCTACTCTTGCCTCAGTTGTGATCAGCACAGACTAGGGTTCAACCCTGCGAAATCGCACCCAAGAACTGTTGTGGATCGGGGGGTGGGGGGTGGTGGATTGTTGAGCATTCAGTTATCTAATTTTTAGAACGATTTCTTGCAATATTTTAAGCAAGAAAAATGCTTAAAAACCTTAATTTGATTGATATGTCCAAATACATCTTGGACTTAGTTACTCCAAGTATACATTTCCTGAATATTTCCACTGTATGTTTATGGGTATCAACCTGCTGATGGTAGGATTAATCTATTCTATCACCTTCAGAAATGCAATAATAATAATAATCATTCTTACATTTGGTGTAGCGCTTTCATGTCAGGAAGGCATCCCAAAGCGCTTCAAAGTGACTGTGATTTGTGGGCGATTTTAAAACTTAAAGGTACAAAGTATAACGTTTCAACAGTAGGTACCTGTAAGGAAGTAGCTAATTAGATTCTCTCTGGGTGTGTGCAGCAATTTAAGACAAGAGTATCCTATGAGATAGATGAGCCTTTTAACTTAAGGCACAATTGTGGAGGCATGAAGCTTTAAATTCTTCAGAACATAAGCATGGAAGATATTAAATATTTTGAGCTGAGATAAGTCAATAGCAAATCTGCATTCACAACTCCAGCAGCCGTTCCACTAATATGTAATTATTTATTACCTTTCTGCAGGCATAAGCGTGCAGCTGCATTCACATGCATTTTCTGGTATCAAGAGCTTGGAACACACTAATCCAATTCTGTAGCCGATGGAATTTGATTGTCGTTTTCACTTATTCATACATGACTTTAAGTAGACTTATTTACTACTGGGAGAAGTCATTCACTGGGAAGCGAGCAAAGCCATAAAAGCCTGTGTTCTGAGAAAGCATTGTTAGAGAAGTGTTTTTTTCCACCGTATTAGCTGTCACTTATGACTTTTGAAATGTGAACTAACATTTAACTTCAACCCAGATAGAGACCCATAAAAACAAAGCACGATTATCACAACATCCCTCATTGCAGAATACTCCCGCCCCACTTTACAAGGGGATAATTGAAGAACGCAGACCTGACAATCCTTCATACAGCACAGTGGAAAATCCCAGGACCAATTAGCTTTTCCACATTTAACTAAGGGCTGCCCACAGCATACTTTTTTTTCCCTGTTTCTTAAGAGATTTGGCTTCCATACAAAGGCAAGTTAAAATAAGAATTCTTGTTCAAAGTGACAAAAGATAGAGCACAGGCAAAAACATATGCTCCCTAATGAAGCAAAAAGTACCATGTAATGAAACCACATAAGAACTTTGTGAAGGGCCCTTGGAGCTTTCAGTATTCTTATCCACACACTCAATGGAACAAAACATACAAAATAACAACAGCCCAATGCACAATGCTGCTGATTCAAGAATCAACATGGCAAAAAAAAAACCACCACAAGATGCCTGCCACTGTCATGTTCATCTATAAAGTAGTCCTATGACATTACCGGCAGTTTGCACTCAGCAGAGACCTTCTGTCTATATTCATTCTAAATCAAATCAGCTATCCCAAAGGCTTCAAACAAAGCAAGGCATTTGGACCTCCTTTTTCTAAATAATAATCTATTTAGCCAGCAGGGAAGTGGACCTGGGCTTACTGGCACTGCTGTCAGGCATTCCAGCCTCGAGATGATCAGAAGCAATGCAGGCTGGCAACTGCATGGATGCAGTTGATCAAATATTAAAATACTTAGAATCCATCATGCAGTGAGTGGAAGAGAGTGCAGCATACAGAATGCATGTTTCAACTACAAAATATAAAGTCAATTCACTTCACAGTATATTATGTGAAACGCTTTGAGAGTCTTGAAGACGTGATAAGGCGCTATAACAAATACAAGGATTATTATTATTATTTAAGTTAATGACATGACACCTGTGCATTTATAAATTGTACAAATGTTGGGGGAAAGGCAATTCCAACTGGAAGTTTGGTTAAAATCTGTTTGAGGGGCAGAAAAAAAGCCCAATTTATTAAGGTGTCAATTTAACAGAATCTGCAGTGGGATTGCTCATTTGCCTTTCACTGCTGGGATCACCATTTGATCCAATTTAAACTGAAAGGATAAACGTCTCCTCTGTAAAAGTCGAGAGTGAAAGCAATCTGGCCAGTTTGGCCTAAGTTGTCGAGAACCTACAAAACAGAGATGTCTGCAAGTTTGCAACATTTGGCACTAAGTACATAATCTCACTCAGTATATGGGCAGTATATGGGAAGTGAAAGATTTCACACTAATGAAGATGAACCTCTTTGAGAATTGAGGTTAAGTCAAATTATTGGAATTCAGTGTGCTCCTATCCTCTCTTTATGTGTTCATACTCGATAGGGGTTCTTGAATGCTGACAATGAGCACTCACAGCAGAAGAATATTCCATTTAACAGCATCAATATCCTCAACTTTGTCAAACAAATAACTAGAATTGTCACTTTCTACACCTTGTGTTCTCAGACAAACAACATCATAACAGAAACCCTGTCATTTTACTGTTGGTAATTAAGGATCGGAAATTCAAACTGAAAATATAATTGGTGAAATTAAGCTGCTCTCGGCGAGGTATTCACTCAAGCATGTTTGACGATCTTGTCTCTTTCAAAAAAAATCACATACTTTAGAGCACGGATTTGGGAAGCCATAGAAAGAGTCCATCAAAAGGGGGAGACATTGAAACATGTTCCACTTATAAAAATGCTAGAAAAGTGTGAACCTTGAGGTCTCAGTTTTCGAAGGATTCTTTTGAATTGCCACCTGCTATAATTGTTCATAAAAAAAACTTAAGCGAAAGGAAAAGATAATACATGAAGACAGTTTCACAAACGCGTTGTCCATTTAAACGAGATCCGCAACTCGCTTTCAAAACTGTCTGACTTTGAACACTAAGATGCTTCTTACCTTTTGTAAAGGGTAAACATCCACCTAAGACAATAAGCCACGACAGGGTCCAAAGCTTCCAGTCAGAAAACAACATCTTCTCTCCTTTTACGTCTTTTGTCAGGTACTGTTTAATACATCTGGTTACTGATGTTCGGTACGACTGATGCTAGTGGTCTGCATCATTATACTTCATGTCTAAAAAAAGAAAATAATACAATCCATCATTAACAATGCTTAGTCTATGAAACATAATTAAATCCAATTCACTTTGCAAAGTGAAGTGCACAGTTAAACAGCGTTAAAAAGTTGTATCTTTTTTTGAAAACGCACACCTAAAATAGTAAATATTTACCTCAGCATAACAGTAAGAAGTGATATTGATTAAATTGTCCAAGTATTTTTTAAAAAACAATGACTCCCCTGAATAGATATACGTGAAAATAACTCCGTGGCCATTGCAAATGCTTAGGGAACTTTCTTGCCTCCAACTGAAGGAGACGCCTTCTTTTGTGGTGCCCAGACACTGATGACAGAATTGGTTTTCAGACCATGTAATTGGGACTGAAACGGCTACAAAGACAGCAAGTCTAGCAAACAAATAAACAAACAGGTAAAGAATATCAGGTTGCCGCTGAGCAGATCTAAAAGGTGGATTATCGCTGTTATTTCAGTCCCAATGACCTGGCTTTTGTCGACCACCATCGACTGCCTGGCATCAATTCTTTTGCTTATTGAGCATTTTACAGGCAGAAAGCTGATCAGATATCACAGAGTGCAACTACTTAGGAAGTTTCGACTGCAACCTGATCCCTCACTGTGTATTTAGACTGACTTGCTTGTTTCCCCTAACTGGTCTCTCTTCCAAACTGCTTGCATTGTTGCACACCAACCTCACTGACCCGAGCAAATAAGTAAGTCAAAACAAACAACAAAGATAACATGAAAGTAGGAGTTAGAGAAACTACACAGGGGAAGTCGTGCGGCGAAAATGTGTTCCAGTTAAAAGAAGGTCCTCTGCGAAAGCAAGACTGCTTGATGTCCATCATACTTCTTAAAGGGAACTGTATATAAATCAGTTTCATGTGAACAATATAAAGAGTGAACACCTTTTGATGCCTTCAGGTACTGTACTGAAGGATCTATACTGTCTAATTATAAAATAAAATTGCACATCTATCGACTTCTGAAGATTTGCCACGAACATCAAAATAAGCACATTTTACAGGGGTATAAATTTTAGTGATCCAGTCACTCCATTCATATTGCAGTTACAACCCCTAAACTTAATTCTGGGTCAGTTTCCCCGACTTTCTCACACCAGTATTGTGGAGTGAGGGAGGAAGGAACAGGGAAGCCCACTGCAGTTCCATGCATCACCACTTCAGCCTTTTTGTATGCACACATACAACTGTAGAAACAACAAGCTTCCTTCGCTTGCCAAAGCAATCAAACATTTGGCAGCATTTTTGTTTTGTGAAGCAACAAGATGGAAAAATATATAAAACAGAAAGGAAGAACACAAAGCCTCGCGTTTTCAATCTGTGCAGAGGTAAATACCAGCGACCCCTTCAGAGGAGACAACGATCAATGAATAATTGAGTCTTAGTGTGAACTTGGACATCAAGTCATCAATTACTTCTTTTAGGGAATTAAACCAACAACTTGAACTGGTTTAGAGTCACTTGGAAAGCATTTGCTCTACAGCTGACAAACACAGATCTTTAACAATACTTCTCATGCCCAGGCCACACCCACGAGGCAACCCACACATCTAAGGGTGACATTATAATTATATAAGAATAATCCTTGCATTTGATATAGCGCCTTATCATGTCATTAAGACGTCTCAAAGCGCTTCACAGAATATATTGTAAAGTGGATTGACTGTATATTTTGTGGGCAAAACGCAGCAGCCAATTGCATACAGCAGTGTCCCACAAACTGCTATAGAATGAATGACCAATTTTATTTGGGGGGACTGTTGACCAGGATACTGGGAGAAAGAAACTCTGTTCTCTGTTCTAACAGTGCTATGGGATCATTAATGTTCACCTGAACAGGAACTCAGTTTAACGACTTTATTCAAAGCAATTCAATTTCACCGGTCACAGGGTAAACTCGAAGGACAGCTCTGCATTCACACGTTGTGTCACACAACCTGGACATGAGCACAATAGCGTGCAGAGGTTTTGGCAGAACATGGGAGTAGTCGGTGGTTCAGCCATTACTGGCATGCCTTATTTTTACTTCTAAGCATATTGCTGATCAAACAAAGTAGGACTCATACAATGGGAAAATACCAGTTGGTAAAGCCATAGTCCAGTGTGAAACAGTCACACAGATCCAAAAAGTCTAATGTTTATGGTCATGAATGTTTGGCCAAAAATTCTTCAAATAAGTTGTTTATTTATGGCAGTTTGTGAAACATTATTGTGCAAAATTGGCTGCAATGGTTTCCTATAGTTACTACACTTGACAACAATTACCTCTGAACTACTTTAAGATGTTTTGACGTTGTAGATGCAATATCAAATACAAAGAATATTAAATATAAGATTAATTATCACTTAACATTATTATAAATTATAATGAGTGCTTGTGTAAGGTACTGAGGGATAGGTAGCACGTATGGTACTGTAATCCAGCAGAAGTAGGTGTCTATATCAGAAGAGGGAAGAAGATTAAAGAGAGAATGGACTCAACATCTTGTAAATCTGGGTTTATGTGATTGAACCAGGTGGGAACTTTCTGGCTTGTATTGATCAGTTCCATAACTGGTTGTGAATCTGCCAAATTGAACCACAGGAAAAGTTGTAAAAAATAAATTCAAGTAAATGACCTCCATGAAATTATTGCACGAAGACCTGATAAAATAAAAGGTAGCTCACTCAACCTGTGCATGCAGATTTGTATAGTGGTCTTAGATTATGGTATTGAATCTCAATACAAACAGCTTTGCGTTATGAAATTTACTACCCGCCAACTGAGTCACAGCTGAGGAGAATTGGCCTTTGATTTGGTTCCAGTCAATTCCCAAATCTCAGCCAAGCTTGATTTTGAATTTATTCCTCTTGGAAATAGAAAATTCCAACTGTCCGCGAAGAGAGGAAGAATCAATTGACCAAAATCAAAGACAACTGAGATCCAGGAAGCAAGCGGCTTACAATAAAGATGGCAATAATCTTTAATAATAATCCTTGCATTTAGTATAGGGCCTTTCAAGTCGGGAGAACATCCCAAAGCGCTTTGCAGGATTTACTACGAAGTATAGTCAACGTGTATTTTGCAGGCAAAAGCCCAATTACGTCGAAGCAATGTCCCATAAACAGCCATGGAATGAGTGACTGATTTTATTTGGGGGATTGCTGGCCAGGACACTGGGAGAAACTCCCTCCTCATTTTGAATAGTAGTAACTATCAACAACAGTATGGTATCTTTAACAACAACTTACAATTAGGTAGCGCCCCTCTCGCAAGGTAGTATCCCAAAGTGCTTGAAAAGTCCATCGAAAAAGACAGATGGGACCTTGGTTTAAAGACTCATCCAAAGGATGACACTTCCAAAAATGCAACCTTTGAGCACTGCATTCGAGTGTCATCTTACTGTATGTGAGCGCAAGTCCCAATGTGGGGCTTGAACCCACAACCTTCTGACCCAGAGGCGAGAGTGCTACCACTGAGCCAGGCTGCTGATGAAGGTACCATCAGGAATTCCCCAAGACGGTTGGCAAATAAAGCTTGAAATTAAAAATATTTTTGTTTGTGCCTGTGCTGTTCTGTTCGGGTTTTGAATTCTTGTGTATCACTGTTTAATCTATTGGCCCCAAATCACAGATAAAGCATGGCCTGATGAAAGTTTGAAACATTGGCAAGGTGAATAGTAGTAAGTGCATAGCTTGACCAAGGTGACTCAGTCTTAAAATAAAAAAAGCCATTTCTAGGCACTCAGCTGGGTTTTCTCTGTGAAGCGATACATCAAATGGTACAGTGAAGTCTGGAACAGCATGAGACAGGTATACATGTACTGTGAATATAAACAGCTAAAAGATATCAAAAGCTTTTTCCCCACAGATTTAACAGAGTAACAAGAGTTACAAGGCAAATACAGTTACATAACAAATGATAAATGACAGCCCCCAAGTATGAATGCATAAATATAACCCTTAGCCTCCTTTACTCTAAATTCTATAGTGGAGCTCCAAAACATGCGCAACACTAATCCTCGATGACACCGATCATTTTTTCGATGCTAGCCATCTGTTCTGTCAACCGTAGATACTCTGTCCCTGCATGGCGACACTTTTTGCCCAAGATAGACAGCTATAGATTAGGGACGGAGGACAGAGGGCCTCTGGGAGCCAGTCAGCATGGAGCATTTCCAAATGCTCACTTTGTTCTATTAGTACAAGGCTCTCATCTTCACTTTTCCCATTTTTGAACCTGTCACGCAAGTACTTGACAGGGTAATCCACCTGCTCAAAACCAATGACGGTCACAAGCTCCCAATCAAACTAGGCTCCCGCAGCCATCTCTCTTGCTCTCCACAGCTCTCGGATGTATTTATTCATTGAACAATCGGGTCAACTTCCTCACACGTTTCTAACTCGGCCATTTCACTGGTGACTGACTCCCTGCAAGTTAAAGCTGCAATCAGCCTGCTGTCACCGTGGCACGTCGAGCTGTTTCATATTTCCTGACCTAAGCTCGCAAGCTGCAGAACACATGGAGCAGCGCAAAACTTTTCAATGAATCTGGTTTCCATTTTCTTCACTGACTGAACATTCCCTGGCCTCTGTTTCTTTCCGCAGACGCGCGCAACCCACATGAAGCTAGAATCTTAAAAAGTGCTTTAATAATCGTCCAGGAAAAGCTCGATCTTCCTCTTGGAGATAGAAAAAAAAGACTATTTTAAATAGTAATGTGCCTATTCCATCCGCGCAGTACAAAGACAGCAATTGTTACAGATCTCAGCATGCCCTTACCGAGAACAACACAAATCTTAAATCCAATGACACTGCAGTCTTGTAGCTGAAGCGCACTGCGTGATGACAGTCTTGACAGGCTTTAGAAGCCTCATTTTAGTTTAGGATGTTATGTCATTTCTTTTTCTTTTTAGCTTTGGTGAGCAGTAGAGAATTCCTTTAAGTTACCACAGACAAATGGCAGTCACTGTGATCAGTTGTGCCTCTTCCATG